GCACTGCGTTGCATCGCGCCGCGTAAACATAAAACCATGTCTGCATTTGTGATCGTCAAAATGACAAACAACAAGCGCTAATCTTCACTGCTCAAAACTCGCGTTTGAATCATCAATGGCAAATCCTTTAAATGAAAACGTACTTACAGACTGTGAGTCAGAACGGCGGGCATTGTTGTCTACTCTTCCAGAATCAGGAAACAGTCCTCCCTAAATTTCAAAGTTCAGTCTGTTAAAATTATTTAATGCACAATGAACAAACATGAATGATCAAGTGTTTGTATTAAATAACATTCACAAACATTAATGAATGTTTTAAAAATATATTGTTCACTCACTGTAAGATGTTACTAGATCTAACTCATGTTAGATAACATGAGGTCATTGTACAGTAAAGTCTATACAGGAGATGCAATTTGACTGTACTTTTATTTAATCCAGACTGTTCATATTTAAGTTTAAAGGGCTTTTAAAACCTGCTAGAGTTATTCAGCCAAGAATAACAACTAACTAAAAAAATAATAAAAGCCCAGAAATGTTTTTCTGACAGACTGATATGACATAAGCACTGTTAACCATACATTTGTACATTCTCTAACACGCATATTTTGGTTACCAAGTTGATGTATTTTCTCAGCGACCAGCACGGATTTTGGAAGGCCAAACAAAGTAGTTTCGCTTTCACAACGAAACACACAGCGTCTTCACAACATGGCGGCAGCGTCTGGTGTGTAAAAATTGTAAATACCATTATGTCCTCCTGTGTTTTACACTAATAAAAGTTAAAGAAACTCCACTCTAATGCTCGTTATATTAGCGTTAGCCGCGCTTATGCTAACGATTAACTATGTATACACTAACGGCGATGTTTATTTCAATCCGACATTCAGATTAAAATATGGAATCATAACAGAAGCTCTAAATATTAAAAATTTAATTGAAACTTACCTCCTGGTACCGTAAGGTTTTTTTTTTTTTTAGTACCGACTTGGTACCGAAATACCGGGTTTTTTGACAACACTAACTTTGATTATTATGATCTTACTAAATAATCGTACAAAATGGAATTACTTTTGATCAAATGATCAGTGAAACGGAGTTATCATAATATCACCACCACATTGAGAAATCACATGAAATCCAAACAGCAGTCGACTGAGAAAAGACCATTTGTCCATCACTGCATTCACAACTGCAGGGTAAGCGCAGCTGTACCCCGAGTGAGCCGAGAAGAGAGCTTATCTGATAGCGAAATGATCTTGGGACATATTTAAGTTTGCTCATGTAGAAGTAAGAAGTAAGTAAAACAATGCACAAGTTACTTAATGGGAGGGAGGGAGGGAGAGAGAGAGTGCGCGCACTTCTGTTGTGTGATCTTTTATTGATGTTCGCTCACTTAGCACACATCATTTGGATTAAAACTAAATCGTAAATATAAGACAATTTATAGGGGCATTCACTATAAACGTCATTTATTTTCACCCTTAAGCATACACGACTTTCTGGCATAAGTGAAACTAACAGCCTGTGTGAAATGCGCTAGGCTGTACTGTACTTGTCCCTCTCATTCTGCATGAGTACAAATACGTTGTGCGCGTGTTTTGCTTGCTTCATGAGTGTTTATGCATTATATTTTAATTAATTTTAATTTTATTTTATTTAATTAATTTTAATTTAATTTAAATATATGAGTGGCTTTGGAAAATAAATCGCTGCACGTTTCAGATGGATATATTATACATGTTTACTTTTTTTTTAGTTTGTATACCTATTAAACTTTATGTAAGTTATTTGTTATTTTATATTAGGCATAGCTTGGTGTATTTTTATGTTTTGTTAATGAAAGTTCTATGTTCTATATATACGCTAAAGTGAGTTTGACGTTGTATTTTGTTGTTGCATTCAAGCAATTGACGCTAATTCTAAAGTAAAAGTAAAATGTGCACGGCGCTTTTAAGCTATTTAAAAGCGAAGGAAAAGAGGAAAAATTCAAACGAACTAAAAACGAACAATTGCTTTACTCCGAATTGCCGCTATTTGAAAGTTAAAGTAAAATGGGCACACCGCTTTTACAAGCTATTTAAAAGTGAAGGAAAGCGAGGAAAAGAGGGAACGCCCCGCCCCCGTGGTGATACCGGTATTACCGGTGTTGTCACACGTCGATTAACCGGTGGGAAAATGTCCTCACCGTCACAACCCTAGTGAGAAGCTGCCTTATGGGTGCTTGTTTCAGGTGTGTGCACTCAAACCGTCTCTCAGACAGCGCGCACATATACCAAAATGTTGGCTGCTTATTGTGCTTGAATGGTTCGACATCTCTTATTTTTGAACTGCAGCACTTAAAAACGCATTTAGATGACAAGCTTTTGTGATGGCACAGCATGGAAATGGCACGTGAGGGTAACCGTGAGAGAATAGTCCAAATTCTCTACCAGCTGAAAGATGTCTCGGGTATACTGGTATATCACCCAACCCTAAAACTGACACTTAATACAAGGTAGAAGTCATGGTTAAGTAAGCTTTCTCTGACTGTGTGTCTTGTCTTTTTCTTCTGTTCTATTTTTCCTTATCTTTCTATGTTTAGGAAGTGTTTGGAGATGAGGTGGAAGGAGTGAAGGATGGAGATGGTGTGGAATCTGCAGTAAAGAAGAAGAGGGTGCCTCGCTTTGAGGAGGTGGAGGAACCAGCTGTTTTACCTGGACCCCCTACAGAGAGTCCTGGCATGCTCACCAAGATGCAGGTAACACACATATACAGACACACCATCAGTAAAGGTAGACACTACAGTTTATAACACTGTAATAAAATGTTGACCATTTAATAAAATGAAGTGTGATCACTGTAATATTTAGAACATATAATGACTTGATTGAATAAAACTGATATTGCTTAGTGCTGCACAAGTATGAAAGAATTGCACTTGTAATTTTTTTTTTGATGTACTAACTGCATCAGACTTAATACTATCCATGATACTGTATCTTCAGATCAAGCAAATGATGGAAGCAGCCACGCGGCAGATTGAGGAGAGAAAGAAACAGCTAAGTCTTGTGGCTCCTGTCCCTAATGTCCAGGTAAATAATAATAAAAAAAAAAACAGTACCAAGAACCTGTTTTATGATGATTGTCCTTTAGTATCTGTGCGTTTAGAAGAGCACTAGGGAATAAAAAATTACGGAGTGCAATAGAATAAGAGTAGACAATAGGATAATGCTGAGTAAAATATAAATTTTTCCTAAAATATTTCATGTTAGACATTAAATGCAGGTTTACATGTAAACCTAGAAATTGTATTTTTATGAGAGCAGTAAAGAGACCATTGTAGTGGTGTATAATTGCAGTATACAGTTTAGTCTGAGCTTTTGTTTTTAAAGGGGTCCTATTATGCGTTTTCATTTTTTCAAATTTAATTAGTCTGTAATGTTGCTGTTTGAGCATAAAAAAGATCTGCAATGTTACAAAGTTCAAAGTCCACTTCAAAAGGAGATATTTTATTTAACAGAAATCACTTTTCAAAAACTACAACGAACGACTCGTTTGGACTACAACGCATATTTTCCGGGATTTGTGATATCACAAATATCGACGAATGTGATAAGACCTGGTTGAGCTGCACTAGAGGAAGCAACGAGTGTTATCACTATGTCGGAGACACGCTAGCTTTCCCAAGGCAGATACCCCCAAAACAAAATGAAGACTTTGTAAAACAGCATAATAGGACCCCTTTAATCACTTTCAGTTTAGTCTTTTTAATTTCTTTAAAGGGGTCATATGATGCGATTTCAAGTTTTCCTTTCTCTTTGGACATCATATGACCCCTTTAAGCAATCAACAATTATACATTTTTTAATTAATACTTTTTGGATTTACTATCCGATTAACAGGGTTTCTGAAGAGTTCTTAAAATCAAATTGAAATTTTTTAAGACCTTTTTTAAAACTAGCACAAATAATATTAATACGGCATGCCGTTACAGAACAAACCCATATAATCTCAATATAAATTAGGTTTTTCTCAAATTCTTTTACTTAATCAAGCTGGGGCAACATTCAACTGCAAAACAGGGTGACTGCAAGTACTATACGTTTTTTATTCAATATTTACATATGTATTAAAATTGGTTTATTAGTTCATATCAATACCCACAAAGTAGTGGTCCATCGACATTGGATTTTGCTGATATGATAATGTGTTTAAAGGCAATTAAAGGATTGTGGCAATACTAATAAAATCTATTTACTGAATGTATTAAATAATGTTTTAGTCTAGTAGAGTTTACATTCACTTAAATGTCAGATACTGTTTGTGTAAATGAAAATATTGGTAACCAAAATACCAGTAATAGCCAGGGGAAAAATGCATATGGACATATTACACCAGGACTCTTGTTTTGAAATGTTAATGCTTTACTACTTTCAGCTACTTTTTCAAAAAGATGAGAGGCATTAATTATGCAATCATCTGCAACATATTATAATATAAAAACCATAACGTAAACATTGTCAGTTCATCAAAGGTGCATCATAAGCAGTTGTTAGGCACAAATGTGCATTATTCACTGATTGTGAACTGCTTTGAAACCGCAGTCCTGATGAATGTGAAACCATGTCATGTTTTAACTTTGAAATGTGCAGAGCTCACATTTATTTATTTAAATCATTGCTGTTTGAAGTTTAATAATCATGTAGCTGTATTGCAGTTTTTCCTTCCGCAAATTTAAGACCTCTTAAAATAATTAAGACTTTTGTTATACTGTTTAAGACTTTTTATGGACTTACATTTGATCAAACCAGAAACCCTAAATTAATCATTTAATTGAAGAGTTATTAGGCCATGTCCACACGTACACGGGTATTTTTATAAACTTATAAAAGTTTTTCCTCCTCCTGTTTTAAAAAAAATCTCCGTCCACATGAAAACGCAAACGCATGCTATGAAGCACTGTCAAGAGCATGCTAAACAACAGGTGACGATATAATCTCAACCGTAAAGCCATGTTGGCCAATCAGAAGCCTGAAAAAGTCTCCAGTAGGTGGAGATAACAGCGCAGGCACCGGCGTCACAAGCCAAAAACTCCGGTTTCGCTGTCTACACGATAACACTGCAACCGGAGTTTTTGAAAATCTTCACCCTGGCAGGCGTTTTCAAAAATGTTCGGTTTCAGTGAACTGGTGCTGCGTTTGCGTTTGGACGAACGGCCTAACCGCGTAGAAAAAGCTGCGGTTTTAAAAATAACCGCGTTCGTGTGGACAGGGCCTTAGTCGACTATCAAAACCAGCAATGGGCAAAAACTGGTGCAAGACCTGCAGAGTTTAGCTACAGCCCTAATCAAACACACCTTCAAGACAGGAGTTGCCCATCCCTGATCAAAACAGTCATTAGGTGCAGCCCTAAACTTCAATGTTGACATTATATGACATTACAACTTGTACAGAGTAGCAGTGTTATCTCTCTGTGTTCATTAGTAATTAGTAATCTGAGTTTCCCGTTCTGTTGCAGCCCTCAAATTCTGTCATTGTTTGTCATCTAAGCTTGGATGGAGAAAAATAAATACAAAACTTTTGTTCTCTCTTTGACCCCTATAGCCTAGATTGATTCCCTCTCAGACAGACTCTAGTGCTCAACATCCCATCCTTCCAGCAATGGGTGCGACCCAGTCCATCGCTCCCTCCCAGGCTGCTAACTTCATGAATGATGCTATAGAGAAAGCCCGCAAGGCAGCTGAGCTGCAGGCCAAGATCCAGTCCACACTGGCTATGAAACCCGGAATTCTGGGTGCTTTGGGAAACACAGGGCCACATAACCTGGTAGCCCTGGCTAACCTGCATGCCATGGGCATAGCACCACCGTGAGTGTTGTATACATCTAAAAATAACAGTTCTTAGAAAGGGCATGTAGACATTTTTGGCAGCTCTAGAGAAGAATATTGGAAACAAACATGTTTTCTAGTAACATTTTTATTACATATCAATAGGTTTTAATGTTTAGAAAGAATTTATTGCTAAAAAATAGTTCGTTAAAAGTTTTATCATATCTTCTTACAGTAAAGTGGAACCACGCGAGGTCACAAAGCCAACACCCCTCATTTTGGATGAGCTTGGACGAACTGTTGATGCCAGTGGGAAAGAAGTTGAGCTCACACATCGTATGCCCACTCTAAAAGGTAACATGTGCTACCACAGAAATATGAATCTCTCACTTTACGGTGTTTCCTAATGTTCTGTGTTTTTTTTTGTCTCTAGCCAACATCAGAGCAGTGAAGAGGGAACAGTTTCGGCAGCAGTTAAAGGAAAAGCCCAGTGATGACCTGGAATCCACGTCTTACTTTGACCCACGTGTGGCTATCATTCCTGCTCAGAGAGCCAAGAGAGGGTTTAGATTCCATGAACAGGGACGCTTTGAGAAGATCGCCCAGCGCATACGCACAAAGGTAGATAACAGCATGGCTTTTTATTTTTGACTCTAAAAACTATACATTAAAATAGCTTGGAGCAATAACAAGTGAGAAACAATATTATCTCCTTTTTTCAGGCTCAGTTGGAGAAACTACAGATGGAGATTTCTCAGGCTGCCAAAAAGACAGGCATACAGGCCTCCACTAAACTGGCTCTTATTGCCCCCAAGAAGGAGTTGGGAGAGGGGGAGATTCCTCACATAGAGTGGTGGGACTCCTTCATTCTGCCTTCCCAAATAGAACTGTAAGAGCCAACAGCTTTCAGATCTTTCAGCTTTTAGACGTCAATAGACAATTATATATCATGTAAACTGCATTAAAAATAAATGTTTTTAAATGAAATGGTTGAGCCAACTGTAAATGTCATTTACTTGCCATCATGTCTTTCCAAAACCATATGACTTTCTTCCTGTGGAACAGTTGTAAAGAATTCAAAGTGCCATTTTCCATACAATCTGACAGTCATGTTGTTCCTTTTGATAATTAATAACAGAATTTAGTGAAAGTTTTCTTATCACATTTTTCTGTTCTTTTTCTCAGATTTGCACATACAAATTTTGATGAGGTGGAGATGCATGGAGTCACCAACCTAGTTGAACACCCAATTCAGATGGCCCCACCAGGTATTGATTATTACATGCACACATCAAAACCTTCAACAAACAGAAACTGGTTAAATTTCAAAAGACTCATTGTTCTGAATTTTTTTAACTAACATTTTCTGTTTTTATTTCTGTCTCTCTCTTTTTGCTTCTCTTTCTCAGTGGATATAGACAAGCCAGTGACTCTGGGTGTGTATTTGACCAAGAAGGAACAGAAGAAGCTGAGGAGACAAACACGCAGAGAAGCCCAGAAAGAGTTGCAGGAAAAGGTCCGATTGGGTCTTATGCCTCCACCTGAACCTAAAGGTACATTACCAGCTAGACACAAGTCACACAAAGGAGGTTTAAAATGTATTTAATGTTAACCTACCAGTCAAAGGTTTGGGCACACAACTTCTTATTCTTTATTACAGTTGTTTTTCAGTTAAAGATTTTTCACATCATAACTTAAGAACAAACACATATATATATTTCGATGTAGCAGCTTTACTACAGCTTTGTGCTTTATTTATCTTATTATGTTCCTGTTTGTGTGCAGTGCGGATCTCTAATCTGATGAGGGTCTTGGGGACGGAAGCTGTGCAGGACCCCACTAAAGTGGAGGCTCATGTTAGAGCACAAATGGCAAAGAGGCAGAAGTGAGTAATTTCACATGCACAAAGTATTGATATCAAAGCCACAAGTACCATATTTTCTGGAAAATAAGTTGCACTGGGTTAAATTAGCATTTTTGAGAGAGAGCAAACAGATCAATCACAACAGTTTGCAGTGTTTCCCCTGCCATTATATG